GAGCTAGACCACAAATACTGTTCTGTTTTGTTTATTAATCTGTTTTTTTTTTGTTTTTGCTTTCTTTCCAGTATTGAAGGTTAAATCCAGAGCTAGGCAAGGCTCTACTACTGAGCTACATCCCCTAGTCACTTTTTAAGATTTCAAATTTTGAGACAAGTTCTTATTAAATTGCCCAGGTTGACCTCAGAGTTATGATCCTTGTGCCCCAGCCTTTTGAGCAGGTGGGATTACAGGCATGCAGCACCAAGACTGGTCTGTTCATTCTTTGGTGCTTTTTGGTGTCGGTCGGGGATCGAACTCAGGCCCTTGTGCTTGAGAGGCAGGGGCAGAACCATCGAGCCAAATCCCCAGCCCTCTCCTGTTCATTCTTTCTGGTAAATATCTATGGCCGCTCTGCCAGGCCCTACACCAGACCCAGCGAGACCCTCTCTCAAAAAAACAAACAAACAAACAAACAAAAAAAGTTTAAACTCTGAAAAAACTCCCCGCCCACATACACCAAAATGTTCATAAATACAGACCGCAGAGAAAATTCTTCACTTACAATGATGATTTGAAAATATGTAAAAAATGATAACTATAGGCATCAGCTCATCCTCCAACAGGCAGGGCAGTCCTCTGGAGCCTCATTTCTAGGGTTAGTACGGCTGCCTCTCTGTTCTGAGTTGACAGGTAAATTTCCGTACTTAATCGGGAGGGATAAAATGATATGGTCCTGCACTATTGCTTACTGACCCTTCTGGATGGGCCTCCGGGTTTGTCACTTCACAGGCCCAGCTTCTGCTGATGTTTTTGATCCATGACCATTACTGTCTTTTACCTTTTTCCACTGCATTAACATATATGGTCTTTGACTATAGCGTGATATTGGTAAGGAACCCCGGACATCTGAATTTGCTGGTACATAAATGATTGAACTTCTAATGAGAATTCCCTTCTGGATGGGCCTCCGGGTTTGTCACTTCACAGGCCCAGCTTCTGCTGATGTTTTTGATCCATGACCATTACTGTCTTTTACCTTTTTCCACTGCATTAACATATATGGTCTTTGACTATAGCGTGATATTGGTAAGGAACCCCGGACATCTGAATTTGCTGGTACATAAATGATTGAACTTCTAATGAGAATACCCCATGAGCGTACTTTGGTTTTGATTCCACAGTGAGAGAGAGGATAAAAATACTCAAAGTAACTCATCAACCTTCTGGTTGCGGTTCAGTGAGTTCCTAGATATAGTTCATGTTACAGACTTGACCCTGTTGCCATCACAGGCTGTACTGTCCTGGTTCTTCTTGCCTCTTAAAATGACCTCATGGTCAAGTGGGGCGTGGTGGTGCATGCCTGTAATCCCAGCACTTGGGAGGCTGAGGCAGGAGGATCCCTGTGAGTTGGAGACCAGCCTGGGCTACACAGTGAGTTCCAGGTCAGTCTCAACTGCATAGTGAGACCCTGTCTCAAAAAAACCAAACCAAAACAAAAAAACCAAAATGACCTCATGCTATTTTCTTTAGTTTCCCTCCCTCTAAGGCCACAGTGGTCCTGAGAGATTAAACCTGTTTCTGCAGGACCAAAGCCATAAAGGGCAACCTGGCCTGTGATAAGTTAAAGGTAGTCCACTCCTCATAAATAAGCAATAGCCCAGCCCAAAACCAATAAAAGGACTTTCCTTTCTTCATTCCTCTCTCCTGTCTCTCTCTCCTGTCTTTCTTTTTTCTTTCTTCCCTCTCTCCTCTCTCCCTAACCTGCCTTCCCTAATAAAATCTCCTGTGGGACCTCTCGGTGTGTGGCCTAGTTGCAGTTGTCCAGCGGCTCTGTGCCTCTACAGTTCAGACAGCTGGGGTGATTCTCAAGAACCTGCCATTGAGCTCTCACCCGCAGACACTGTTCGCTACAGGTTATAATCACATCTTCAAAACCATGAGGAGCACAACTAACACACCAGTGATCTTCATCACTTCAGGTGTCTGTCCAGGGTACCACCGGAAACAGGAAGCGAGGGAAACAGGCAAATTTTTCACTTTGACGTGGTGACTATGTTCTAGCAGGGGGTCATATCTACATTTAAAAAACAAACACGTGGGTTGCAGGGCTGGTTCTAGCTGTGTGACATTGGGCAAGTTTCTTGTTTTTGTTTTTATTTTGTTCTTAGAGACAAGCTCTCCGACGTTGTCCAGACTAGCATTGAACTCCTGTGCTCCAGCGATCCTCTTGCCTCAGCCTCCCAAGTAGCTGGGACTTGGAGCATGAGCCCCTGCAGTCAGTAGGTGGGCACATTTCTTAACTTGTAGGTGTCTCCTTTCCCTCCTCTGTGAAATGCGGATAACCATGTCTCCCTTTGGAAGTCGTTGACAGAGTGCCTAGCCTGTGGCAGGTTCTGAGTGATGGGCGAGGCCATCACCCAGGAGCCGCTGGAGGATGACATCCACCTTGGCCACAGCCAAGCCATGGCTGGGTTTACAGGGACAGAAAGAGGAGCCTTTCCTGAGTTGTTCACTGTGCAACAGGACGTCAAATGTCAGAAGGCAGAGCTTCACTGAGTGACTTGGGGCAAGTCCCTTGTGTCCCTGAGCCTGTTTGTTGCCTCCTGTCACACAGGGTTGGTAAGAGTCACCTCCACACCTATCAAGTTACAAGAAACGGATGAACTCCTGAGCATGAACATGTCAAGGAAGGCTGTAAATAGCATGGTTGTGACTGAGACTAGAAGGGGGACAATGGGCTCCCAGCCATGCTGGGCTGACCCTGCTCGTTTATCCGGAGCTCTTCAGACTTCCAAGTATCTGTAGGGAGAATGATGGGGAATAAAAGAAAGAGACAGAAACAATATTCAATGTGCAATGGGGGAGGTAAGGAGGAATTTTGTTTGTTTGTTTTTTTGGTTTTTTGAGACAGGGTCTCACTATGTAGTTGAGACTGACCTGGAACTCACTATGTAGCCCAGGCTGGTCTCAAAGTCACAGGGATCTTCCTGCCTCAGCCTTCCGTGTTCTGGGATTTTTGGTGTGTGCCACCACACCCAGCTAGGAATTTTCTCTCTCGTGGATAGGCTTTGATGAGTGCCACAGTGGGCCTGCTTTTATAATCAACAGAAACACAGGACAGGGGGGAGTATACTGTTCCAGGAAGGTCACTGCAGTAAATTTAGAATAGCCAGATAAGGACCAACTTTAGCACCTCAAAGGGGAAGAATTTAAGGTCTTTTCCTACATCAGAATGTCTGCATTTTCTGTTGCCCTCAGCAGAATGTTATCTTGCCTCAGGAATGCCGTGTGATTGCTTTTCACATAGCCAGGAAGTCATATTTCCATGTTCCTCAGGCAGGTTAACCTAGGGCTTGGGGACTGCAGGGTCACTCACCAACCTATATATATCATGGCTGGTCCCCAACACTTACTGAGTCCACCTGTCTGCTTGTCTGCTCCTTTAGCTGCCGAGGCTGCCTCTTCTCCACCACAGGTGCTGGGGACCAGAGCATCCCAGACCACCTGGGAGGATGGCAGATAGAGGACCCACCATAAATGTCCCAGAGACCCCAAAAACAGAGCAGGGACCCCCCCACACAAGTCTAACCAGTGTAGGAGAGTGACTCAAACACAGGCCAGGTATAAACATTTATCATCCACTTCTTTGGTGGGTGATGTGTTAATCATTTTTCTGTTATTAGAACAAATACCTGAGATAATCAACTTTTAAAGAGAAAAGGCTTGTCTCCCAGGTTTAGAGGTTTCAATCCTTGACCCCTTGGCCCCATTGCTTGGGGCCTGTGGTAAGGCAGCACATCATGCTGAGAGCATAGGACAGAGCAAACCCGCCCTTCTCCTATTGCCAGGATGTGAAAGAGAAACAGGAAGAGATCAGGGCCCCACAACCCCCTTCAAGGGCAAGCCCCTAATGACTCAAAGACCTCCCACTGTACCCCACCTCTTAAAGACTCCACCACCTCCCAGTAAGGCCAGGCTGGGAACCGGGCTTCTGACACATGGGTCTTAGGGGACACTCAGGATCCAAACCATAGCAGGTAACTAGAGGAGAAAGGCTAACTACTCAAACTTCAGTCTCCAGCCTCCCAAGCCCACTAGATAATGGAAACCTAGGAGCCTCTCCCAGAGCTGCCCTTTGAAAGCTGTTCCTCTGGCGTCCCTCCCTCCAGCAGTGGCTTTCCGCCCATCCCTTACCCAGGAACCACCAGGCTCACCGGGGTGCCTTGGCCCCACTTGGCCCACCTACCTGGGTGACAAGCAGATGCTGTTCTCAGAGGATGCTACTGGCACCCGTGCCAGGCCTCAGGCCCCAATGTCTGATGAGACATCACCGAAGAGCGGGGCCGGAAAGGACCCTGCCTCCTTGGCTCCCATCATCAGGCTGCCCTCAAGCTGCCGACCTTCTGCATCCAGGGCCGGTGCAAACCTGCGCTGCAGTGTCTACCTCAGCGTAGCCTCGGCCTCGAGGAATGGGAGGCAGACGTTATCTTTGGCTCAGATTGAGCCACAATTTGGAAAGTGGAGTGGATGAGCCAGGTCCCGCTGAGATGGATAAAGTGGACTCCAGAACCTAGTGGAAGTGATCATCTTTGGGTGGCCTGTGCGCAGAACTGGACGGCTCCCAGGCCTGGCGCAGAGGCCAGGAAGACATTGTGACCAAACTCAGAAAAGCGGACACTTGAAGGACTCAGCAAAGCCTAGGTACCAGGTCCTCTGCTTAAAACAGTGGAGCGTTATGAGAACAGGACAAAAGGACAAACATTGCCAACTCCATTGGTATGAAATGTTCAGAATAAGGAAACCCACAGAGACAGAAAGCAAATGGCCAGAGAGTAGAAGAAACAGAACGGGAGTGATTACCAGCGGGCATGAGGTTCTCTTTGGGCTGATGGAAGTGTCTTGGAACTAGATGAAGGCAATGGCTCCAAACATTGTAGGGCCGGGGATTTGGCTCAGTGGTTCTGCTGCCTGCTTCACAAGTGCAAGGTCCCGAGTTCAATCCCCAGTACCAAAAATAAAACAAAACAAATGACAAAAAAACATCATAGGGCTGGAGGTGTAGCTCAGTGGTAGAGCACTTGCCTAGAACGTATGAGTTCCTGGATTCTACCTTTGGTATCACAGAAACAACAAAAATCATTGTAAATGTACCAAATACCACTGAATCGTACACTTTATTATAGATAATTTTATGATAGAGGAATTCTGCCTTGATTTTATTTATTTTTATTTTTTGGTTCCAGGGAATTGAACTCAGGACCTTGCACTCGCCAGGCAGATGTGGTACCACTGAGCTAAATCCTCGGCCCTCAGCCTTGATTTTAAAATATTAAGGGCCAGGGATTTAGCTCAGTGGTTCCACCAACTGCCTCGCAAGCACAAGGACCCGAGTTTGATCCCCGGTATAAAAATAAAATAAATAAATAAATAAATAAAATATTAATAAAAATTCATAATATATTGACACCAACAAAGAAAAGGCCCAAATGTTAGCAGCAGTGACATCATCAATAACTCTTACATTGTTTTTTGCTTATATACATTTCCAAAATTTTCCACAATGAACACAATTGCCTTCATACAGATGGTTCCATAAACAAAATTAAAAGATTTATGGAGGGGGCTGGGGATTTAGCTCAGTGGCTCCGCTGCCTGCCTTGTAAGCGCAAGGTCCCAAGTTCGATTCCCCAGTACCAAAAAAATAAAAAATAAAGATTTATGGAGTATCTACTGTACTCTGGGCTCTAGACGAACAAAAATAATACTTTCTGAGCTTGGGGCTTCCTTTGACAATCTCAGGACACCTTCAATCCCTCAGGAGGCCAGGTAAGTTAAATAAGGCTTCACGGGTAAAGTCACTTAGACCATAGAGCAAGTCAGTGGTGAAGCCAGGATTTGAAATCAGCCTTGTATCTCCAAAGCCTTGCTTTGAACTATGCTTTTAAGCTCCAGTGGCTCCATCCTCCATTGTGCCTGGACCCAGGCCCAGCTGCCAGGAGTGTTCAGTCAATGAGAACAAACAAGCACACACTGCAAGAACTACGCATGCGAAACAGTTTTTCTTACTGCCTTTAGTGGACACTGGGCCTTCCGGAGCCAGTCTCGCTGTTCCAAGAACAGCCTGAGCTCATGCACACCTGTCGTCCTTTCTAAGCTATACGCTTGGCCTAGGTCTTCTTGCCACACTCCAGCCACCCTGCTCCCACCAGCCCGTAAGCCTCTTCCTCTAGGACACCTGCCCTGCTTGCAGGCAAAGGACACAGTGAAAGGAGCTCCTCTGGGCTCTGAAGGCAGGGCTTGAGGAAGAAGGTGCCTGGGGTGTGGTTTGCCTGCAGGTAGAGTCCTACACTTAGAGCTCTAAGCTAAACGCCTTGCTGATCATTTCAGAAATACAGATTTTTAAACAGTTTACCAGGCATGGTGCATGCTCCAGAAATCCCAGCAACTTGGGAGGCTGAGGCAGGATGATTACAGATTCTAGCCTAGCATTAGCAACTTAGTAAGATTCTGTCTCAAGATAAAAAATAAAAAGGGGCCTTCATGGGAAGGCCCCGATTTCAACTGCCAGTACCACATCTCTCTCTCTCTCTCTCTCTCTCTCTTTCTCTCTCTCTCTCTCTCTCACACACACACACACACACACACACACATAAATGAAAGAGTCAGGCACAGTGATGCACAACTCTATTCCCAGCATTCAAAAGGCTGAGCCAGGAGGATTGCTTCAAGTCTGAAGCCAGCCTGGACTACACAGTGAGCTCAAGGCTGGCCTGAACTACATAGTGAGACCCCGTCTCAAGAGTAAATAAATAAATTAATTTAATTAAACAACTGATGGTCTGGGAACCTATCTCAGTGATAGAGCTCTTGCCTACCATGTGCAAAGCCCTGGGTTACATCCCTAGCACTGGAAAACAAAAATTAGCTTTTCACCTTAACTACAAAGTGACACGCGGGGCCAGGGATACAGCTCAGTAGCACCACGCCTGCCTGGCAAGCGCAAGGTCCTGAGTTCGATCCACAGTACTGTAAAAGAAAAGAAAAGAAAAAAAGTGGTATGTGCTTGTGATTTAAAAAAAAAAAAAGTTCAAACAGGACAAAAACTCCTTAATTTCCACCTTGCAGGGACCTCCCTGGGCTAGGTGGCCACCCCTCTAGGGTAACTGAGGAAGCAGCCCGAGGCTGATGCTGGAGATTCCAGAACTGGGTGTACCAGGCCCAAATCTCCACTCGCTGACCACTGGCCTTGGCCTTTGAAGTTTTTAATGTTTTTCTGTGCTAGGGATGGAACATACACTAAGCAAGTACACACTACCGCTGATCTATATTCCCAGCAACCTGGTGCCGGCTTATCGGCCTCTCTGAGCCACTATAAAGTAGGGAGCGTAACAGGGCCTCTCCACAGAGAGGGAGAGGCTCCCTTTGCAGTGGCTGCACTGATTCAAAGCTGCAGTGTGTGCAGGTACAATGCTTGGCATAGGGCTAGCGTAGGAGACCTGCTCAGTGGATGGTAGTTGTTGTTACTGATGCTTTGAGACTATTCCGCCGCCTCTAGAAGAGCCTTGAGGCACCCAAGCTCTATAACGGCTGTCCAACTGCATCAATCAATAATGCTCATAGCTACGGGAGCAGGAGCCGGCCAGGCCTTGTACTCAGCACTCTCCCAGGGTCTGCACAACAGTATGGGGCTCTGGTCTGCCTAGCACTCACCTTCACATCCAAGGCCTGCTGGAGCTGGGAGTAGCCAAGCCCATGGCAGGACTGCAGGTTCCCCAGGTACTGCATCACAGAGGCACATCCTCTGTGACCTTCCCAAGCTCCTGGCAGCTGTAAATCTCCTGGCAGGGACTGTAGAGGCTCAGCCTGGTAGTTCAGGCAGGCTGACTCCCTCATCCTCCTTCTGGCTCTGAAGAATTTGGCTCCTCTCTGAGATCAGGACAGGACACACAGGACCAGACAAAGCAGCAAGCTTGTCCTCACCCCAAGGCCATCTGGTGGGACTGGGCTCACCGTTCATTTCACCTGGTTCCTTCCTCTCTGGACCTTGCTTTCCCATCTGAGAAACAAGGGGCTTAAGTCTTTCTGAAGATTCTGATGAGAGTCACAGTCATTACCTCTAAAAAATGCTTACACACACAGCCACACAGCCACACAGCCACACACACATACACCCCACCACCACCACCACCACCACTACACAATCTTACCAGCCGCTTCCTCTACCAGATCTGTTATGAATCTCCCAGGTTAAGAACTTTCACATTCCAAGGGCTACAGTTTTTTCATTTCTGCTTTTTGCTTACTTGAGAGTTTTTGGTGCCATGGATCCAATCCAGAGCCTTCTCTATGCGAAGCATACACTCTCGCTCTGACTGAGCTATATCCCTAGACCCAAAGAGCTACTGTTGTTTGGAAAAACAAGTTGCAGAACAGGATGTATACTGTAATCTTTTAAAAACATAAGTATTCCCCAAAATTTTTTAAAATTTAAAAACCCAGGCATGGCAGTGCACACCTGTAACCCCAGCACTTGGGAGGCTAAGGCAGGAGGCCAGAGGATTCAAAACCAGCTCAGGGGCTGGGGATTTAGCACAGTTGTTCCACTGCCTGCCTTGCAAGTGCAAGGTCCCGAGTTTGATCCCTGGTACCAAAACACAAAAACAAAAACAAAACCAGCTAGGGCTACATAGTCAGTTTAAGGTCAGCCTAAATCGCATAACAAGACTCTGTCTGAACAAAACAAAACAAAGCAAAACAAAATATAAGTACTAACATACACTTTTAAATGCAAAGAAAAATCTGGAGGAATCTATAATTGACTTCAGAGCTTCTCTCTAGAGAGTGGAATCACAAAGCCTTCCACAGTGTACCCTAGACGTTATTTTTTTAATAGGTGTGTGTGTTGCTTTTATGAATTCTTTTCCCATTCAAACACCATCCTATTAGGGCCCGGGACTTAGCTCAGCAGTGCCGATGCTGCCTCACAAGGGCAAGGACCTGAATTCTATCCCAGGTACCAATAAATAAGTAAATGAAAATAAACACCATCCTATAATGTTATCAACAACCATCTCAAATTCTGCAGCCCATTTATCCTTTGTTGAGTGAAGCGATTCGACCATGGACCCAAAAGAGTAAGGAGGCTCAGGGCTCTGATCCATCAACAGGACTAGTAATACTTAGCCCTGTGTCTCCATGGATAGGGTAGTTACCTGTCTAGGCCTCAGTTTGCCTTCCCAGAGGGGATTAGGGGTAGTGCCTATACTGCAAAGGGCTTCTTACTTTAATAAGAAGGAAATAATAACAATATTTTTTTCC